ATGACACAAAAATACAACTATCAGTAGACAGGGCTGCCATCTCAGCTTGAAATTATAAGTAGTATCTAGCTGGGATGTTGGTATGAGGCTTCTGCAAAAAGAATGGGCATTTCACTTCTAGGGCTGCAGCCGGAACTTCATTTTCTTTAAAGAAACCATCTGGCAATACCACCATTGGCACAGACCCCATTGTCAGAGGGACTCCCCCAACCTCATACAGTTTCCATGTTGGATGGAATGCAGAGATAAACTTGGTACAGACAGTTGCAATTGCACAGTCCTCCTGCAAACACACCATGCTCCATTGCTCTCTGTACATTCTTCAGTGGGTTTCTCAAGACTATCTCCAATATCTCTGACATTGCATTGCAATACAGAAAAAAGAGAATAACCAGTACAAATATTGTCATCCTTAATTCATGTTCCAAAGTCAAATTTCCCAGCTTCTAGAAGAGTCACCTGTCACAAACATCATTGATGCGATGGCCTCTCTGGCCTCCATGCAGCCACCTGTCATATGACCTGGCGCACATACCTTAACGCCAGACAGGGGATATTTTCTGCACACTTCACATATCAGCTTTCCTGGATCGTCTGCAGGTTCTTTGGTACTGCTGCTGGTTGATGATCTAGGTTTGTCAAATTTATGAACTAGGCCAGGAAATTCCTCAAACCAGGAGGCAGGCTATCGGGGCTCCTTTTCTTTTGAGCTCATATTTCTTCTTAGAATTGTTACAGTCATTTTTATCTCTGGACCAACTTAAATCTTCATCAAATCCATTTTTGTCTTTATTCTTAGTCAGAGTAAACCCAAACTTTGTCAAAGACATAAGGGTAACATTCAAATTATACCAATGACAGAGCGATATACCCAGGTGCCCACCATTGATTTTGCACCAGCGTACGCCTCAAACTGCATTATGGGAAATTTTGAGTCGGGAAAGACGGAACACTATTGGTCAGCTTCCTGCTGTCAACCAATGAAAATTCGCAAAAGATATTGAGTTATGTAAGACATTTAAAGCAAAGATTGCTGTGATCGTACGAACTGAAAGTGAAGATCTGATTCACTATTTATGAACATTTCACGATTTTATGAAATTAAATATCCGTTCTTTTACTTTATTTTGACACTTGCCCAATTGGGTAAGCATTCAGGTGAGTGGACTTGCCGGACACCGATGTCTACTTGCCCCGGGCAATCCTTATTGTCGAGCCCTATGCTTTCAAAATATTAAAGCATTGTCAATACTTCATAGAAAGGTAAAAAAGTCATGAATAGATATGCTGCATTTTACCAATTTGAAATCTTTTTAAGGTTATTTTATGCATTAATTGGTATACATGTACCAAATGACCAACAAATCCAGGAAAATTTGTTTTATGTAATGTTTTTGAATTTTGAAGAGTTTACATGGATAATTTGGTTCTCATCTGTCGATCTTCTCTTCTTCTTTTCATCTTTCTCTTAACCCTTGTTCTTTCTTCCACACTGTCTGCTTTGTACACCCTACAAAAAATATTATAGGAAAGGTACACAGAAGACTAAAAGTTAAGGTGAAAATGAATGCTTTTAGATGGACATATACAACACAGCAGCAGTGAGGTTCGCAATAAATTTTAACCTCTACAGTTTTGTGAGGAGAAGATGACATTACGGATATGGATAAACCACCCTAATCTTACGTATCAGACATTTAACATAATTACAGGGTAAACACAATAGGCCACAGTGCTTAGCGTAAGTCAGCTGGGTTAAGGGAAGTAAGTCGAGTTGGCCTCGTTTGAGGTGATGAGTGACAGCCTTAATTGCCACCTCATCCTCTACTGATGCTGCTGAGTGACAGCGTTAATTGCCATCTCCCAAGTCCCAGCGGCTTATCTGATTATCTGCCCGACTGCACACAATCATAGTTCATCTATATGGGGCACGCTTTCATTGTATTCGTCCTTTAGATATTATTTTAGATAAAATTTTCTTTCTTAACGATGTCTTGGTTCTCAAGGCCTGGTTACAATCTTAAATATTACTTCTAAAATTGTTTCAATAGACGTTTTTGCTGCGTATATAGTACATAGTTACAATTTTTTTTGCTGTAAACGGTGTTGTAAATTTTAAAATCCCATGTGTTGCTGATTCTGAATGTTGAAAATAAAGGATCCATAACCCAAATTAGACGGCGTATTTTACGTTTTTCCTTGAGGCATCAATTTCAGCTCAAATTATTACATTGAAATGATCACACTATTATAAATTTTGAAAACATAATTGATTGCAGTTTAACCAGGCTTTGCCCTAACCTTTTAACCTTTTAATATCATTTTCGATCATGAGGAACAACAGGGACTGGGTAATCTATCCAAACACGTTATTTTTTTTTCTTTTTACTTTTAATTATGAAGTGGCGCTGAGTATTCAATTGGAGTTTAAGACGACAACAATAATATCCATGGACTCGTACGTCAAATTACGGAATGATAGAAGAGATTCTCTTGTGCAAATAACTTCGTCATAACTGCAGGTGGAACAATAATAGGTTTGGAACGCAGATCAGAAGGAACCCTCAGGTTGCAGAACCTTTGCAGAGCCTGATTGATAACACAAACAGCTATATGCTAATAATAAAAGTTACAGATTAAGAATTTAATGTTATAAACAGTACATCGAAATAGATAGCCGTTCACCTTACAGTTGTATTACATGCCTTCTGACACACTGCAGAGGGATATTAAGTGTTAATGGGTCACGGTAATTTCACAATACCCCGAATGCACCGGTGGTGCGGAATTTTATGAGATTACCCATATCTGCATAGTTAAAATAAAAACAACACTCACGTTCCTTTAGTCAGGCCAAGCCAGAGACATGTCGGTCTAATAGCCAAGGCACTGCAACGAAAAAGAAGTGGAATTAAGTGCTGCTCTATAAATTAAAAATTTGAATTAAAAAATTATATACATATGATAAATATATACAGTATCTATACATGTCCTACCAGTAAAAAAGAGCTTGAACAGATCTACACTTATGACGTCCCATCACCAGATGCTGTTATAAAATTGACGATGAAGCTGCGAAAAATATAGCAGCGTCTTCCATTACAGAATCTGATGATGGCGCGGCAGGAGTGTAGATCTATTCATTCGTCCCCCTTATTGTAAAGCTGTAAACTACACTAAATATATATTAATAATATAGAAATAAATGTAAAATAAAATACTGATTTGAAACATATTTACATGTAAATGAAACATAATATAATACATATATACAATTGGTTGGTGTATAAAAATACATACAAAGTATATACAAAGAAAATAAATATAAATAATCTATATAATAATAACAGCTAATTACATAAAAATAACACATTTACAATATTGTACATATTTACAAAGTCAAAGCCTAAAAATACCTGGACAGACACGGCAGTAACAACATGAATCAGGGGCGGATCCAGAGATGTTTTCTGACAGTCTTCCATATTATATTTGTTGATCCATTCTCAATTTTTTGACCGTCTTCCGACAGAAAAAAATTATATACCCGTCAATGTAAACTTGAAAATCTGACCGTCTTCCGGAAGACCCAGAAGACGGCCTAAATCCGCCCCTGTGAATTACTTCGGGCATTACCTTCTGAATGTGGTTAATATACTTAACACACTTAGCCTGATCCATGGTGGTCCAGAATTCTTCAGTGGCAGCCACCAGTTGATCTTTCGTTCTTGGTTTCGCCTGGTTCCTGATGAAATACTTCAGTTCAGCCCAAAGCATCTCGTTGGAGTTCAAATCAGGGCTCTCGGGGGGGGGGGGGTCTTGAACTAGTTGATGTTGTGCTGCTCGAAGAACGTGGCCGTCGACCTGCTGGTATGCATGGGCGCATTGTCTTGCTGGAACCTGTGCCCCAAAGGAAGCCTGTGGTTAAATCAGAAGAGATACGTAAGTGTTACTATTTTCAGAACTTTCAGCTGATGGACAAACATTGGCAATGCATACTCTAAATCGATACTGACTCTTTATTATTTTAATTGCTGATTTTCACTTACTTTGCAGAAACGGAATAAGAGTGTCCCGAAGAATGTCCTGGTACGCTTCGCTGTTCATCGCGCCAGTAAATGTAATGATTGAAGTTGCCCCTCTTTGCAGAGTGCCTGAAATAGATAATATCAGTCCATTAGTTTACATGAACATGCACTTTTATTTTAAAAGCCTAGTCACAATCTTGCTAATGAGATTTCAGACCCGGAATGTTAAATTACTCTTGTTAAATTTAGTTTCATCACATTTCAACAAGCAAAGTTAACACATTTTTTCACAACAGTATTAAACATTTCATTGTAGCGTCGGGTGCTTCGGTTTGCTGTGCAGTGGGTGGGGCGGACTTATGTCGTTCCCATCTTCGTCCCTGATGACTTTCCAAAAATATATCGACCATTCATGTCCATTTCCACGG